TGCGAATAGAGGTCGTGGAGGGGAGGGAGTGACTGGAGTAGGACCCGGGGGAGAGCAGGGGACAGGAGAGCGTTGGGATGCGCCCGGAGCAGAGCTGCTGCGAGCCCCGTGAGCTGCAGTGGAGCAGGAGGAGGGAGCCGGAGACCGAACCGGCGCCCCTGCAGCGGGGTTGGTGGTGGTAGACCATAAACTGTCCACACTACTACATATACATAGTTCCCACATGACGTCACTACATACGGGGATTTGCCGACCCGGCGCCATTTGTCTTGGCATTCTGTGGGCAAAACAATAGAAAAAGAAGCTGAAACGTGTTAATGTCGTGATAAAGTTGAAAATGGTCATCTCCTGCTGGGTCAATGGATGTTCAAATCGTGCCGGAGGTTCCGTTAAACTTGGATTTTACAGTATACCCATCATTAGACTTCATGAATGTGAGAAGACTAAGCTTTTGTCAGAACAACCACGGAGGTTATGGCTTGCGAAGATAAACAGGCAAGAAACTCCCTCAAAACACGCAAGAATATGCTCGGAGCACTTTGTGTCAGGTGCGTATCGTATCTTATAATGTGTTGACAGACGTAATTTACTCAGTACTAACTTGTGTATGCCGATAGCTGGTAACTTGAGAGTTTCATTATTTAGCGTTAGATTACTTTATTATGAGGAGGATCGGTGTCGCGTCCGAGGCTCTCGAGGGCAACGTAAATGTATTAAATAGATAATAATAGTTCTATGGTGGGCTAAAACAATGTTCACAAACAGCATTGCTTCTGTAAAAAGATCTGTGTCATTAAATAAACTGCTCTTTACGCCTGGAAAAATCAGTTGCCCACCATTCACCAAAACATACGGTCAAAAACGCGGAAATAAACAATAACAGCAATCCAGAGTGTCCGTGTGGCATTAGCATTAATTAAATGAATTGTTAATATAATTAAAATAATTAAATGGAGCTCCAACTGGTATTAAATCTAAAGTTTTTGAGAAATGTTTGCATTGCTTGTTAATTTTTGCTGCATAATTTGATCAAATATGTAAAACATGTCCGTAGCACGTTAAACTGTGGTGCCATTGTATTAATATACAATTATTTGCTCAAAAGTTGCCCTTTTTTTCCAATTTGCGTTTGAATATCTACATTTATTCTCATTCTTCTGTTTAATGGAATGCACAAACACAGCAGCGTGCCATCAAAGATGGCGTCTCCGAGGAGGTCATGTGACATTCATTGGTCTGTGGGAACTATGTATAGACACAGGTGTAGCACATCAGGGAGGGGCAAACCATCAAGACTAACAGGAAGTAAAACTCACAACAACCAATAAAAATTCATAATAAAACCAGATAAATTCACGGGGAGTCCACACCATGACACACAGAGCTGACTTCTTACCATGGAGTGCAAGTGTTAAAATCTCAACAGAGTTTTGTAACAGAAAGTCATACACATCTAACACAGGATACAGAAAATGATAGAAAACACATAGAGCCATTGGTCCATAGGGAGTGGATGACCAACGTCTAGAAATGTTAACAAATGTCCATAAAAGTCCAACCACATGGATTTTTTTTAGTTCCATTCATTGTGGTTTGAAAGTTAGATCCCCCAGCTTTAACTTGTAATTGACCACTTTATTTACCCAGTAACCTACTACTACTACTTGGGTTGAGTCCGAAACCCCTTAATGCAAGGACCATTGAACCACAGAGCAAATACTTTCTCCTCAGTCACTAAATCACTCTTCTGCCCTTTCACTGTCTTTTTTTTCTCTATTGAGGAAAAGCAGCGTGGATTTTAATGTCTCCAGCCTTAAGCCTTTTGACCTTTGAGTGCAACAAGTGGCAGCATCAATCTCCTCTGCAGGAAAACCCCAAGTCATTTGTGAAAGAGCCACAATGTCCAGTGTCCCCTCAGCTGGATGAGAGTCAACTCAAGTGGTCCTATATGGCAAGCAGCTTTTTTTTTCACATGAGGAGAAATAAATCTGCCCTTATCCCTGACGCCTCCATGCCGGCTGAATCTAAATCCTCCCCATAATTCCAAAGTCAATGACAGCGGGCATGAGAGCAGCGTGGAGCGTGGAGCAGGGAGAATAGGAATGAAGAGACAATAAAACAGCCTTCGAGCGTTGACTAACACCGCGGAGAAAAGCCGATCCGAGGTCCACGGGCCAAGTCCTCCAAAGCAAACAGGAAGTCTGTGCGTGTCCTATTAAGGAGTGAGAAGGCTGGTTCGAGAGACTGGGGAAGGTCAGATGAGGAGAGACATTGTTTAAAGCTGTAGGTACGTATATTTGTTTTGGTTTGATAATTATATTTTGTCTTTTGCAACATAGAGAGTCTTCATCTTGCTTGAAAACATTTTGAATACTTGTAAGAAAGTCAAAAAGAGTAATTTTCTAAAAGTTTTTTCTTTATTGTCGCCATAAGGAAGTTAGTCCTCTAGTCCTTCGGGGCCATTGTATATATCTTTTAAGTGGTGGGGGAAACTGGACCAAAGGAAACCTGGAGGATACTACATTTGCAGAGGGAGTTATGCAGAAAACAGAAAAGCCATGTTCTGTTTGGGATTCGAACCCAGGACATTCTTGCTTCAGGAACTCAGACTCACTTCAGAACTTTAAATCTCTGCTCAAAACCCACCTGTCCAAAACTGCCTTAACACTTTTTATTTTAGTTTCTTATTAACCTGTCTCTTTGTAAAGTGTCTTTGATGGTCCAAAAAGCGATGTAAGTACAATGTTTTGTTATTGTTATTATGTTGTTTGCATATTCAATTCATTTCAATGTATTCTTGTATAGCCCTAAATCACAACAGTAGTTAGAGGACTTTACAAAACCATTGATTTCGCCAACACAGATCAGAGAATCAAACCGTTCAAAAATAAGAAAAAACAGTAAACACATTGGTATTACTAAAAAGTGTTCTTTTTAGTCCTTTTAGTTAGACCTCAAGGAAAAACTCCAAAACCCAGAGGGAAAAGTGAGAAACCCCTTGAGAATCTCCTAATTGCACCATTCATCTCCCATCCACAAAATGCCAGACCCCGTTGACTTATCACGACACCAATCAAATGCCTGTGACGTGGCCTTGGACTCAAAATTATGTAAATTGTTTGAAAAGCTGGTTGGATTCCAATCATGGTGTTGTGAATCCGTTATGCTATTTTGGTCATCATTAAAAGGCAATTGGATGAATAATTTATGTTCATTATCACAGGATTGAGTGATGTCCCGCCAGGCCTGCCACAGAAAGCCCTCTGGCTACACTTCATTATTATTAAAGTGTTATTCTCTGAACTCACTCAACACAACATTAGCTGTTACACGCAGACTCCACCGCCTCGCGTCAAACTACTAATACATTTCTTAAACTTACTTTCATTCAATAATCAGCATGTTTTGATTCATGTATACATTTTTCAGAATACTTTTGCGATTGTGTAGTTTGACAGCAAAGCTAAACCGGAAATTGAACTATTGGAATTTCAAAATAAAACAGGATTTTCTGAAAATGTTTTAATTATGCTTGGGAAGTAGGTTGGCAAGGAAGTGCTTTGTTCCTGTGTTTTGTTGCGCTGTGTGGAGTGTATTGTGTGTTGTTTTTACTGTGTCTTTCACAAACTCAGAGTCACAAAACTCTACACTGCAAAAAGTGATTTAAAAAAGTAAAAAAAAAAACTTCATTTGAGCACATTATGACTGCCTTTAAACAAGATTTTCTTATAAAAGATACCAGAAAATCTCCCTTGGAATGAGAAAATAAAGCATCAGTTCTTGAAATTGAAAAATGGCTTCATTCCATTGTCAATGGAACGCGCTCAATTTAAGATAAAAACCACTCAATTCTTGCAATTATTGCCTCATATTCTATTGCAGTGAACAATTGTGTGTATTTTTTCCTCTCCGATAAAGGGAGAACATGCCAGAACTATTGTACATGTTTCGAGTGGTTTTAGTGGTAACCGGTGACCTGGGTAGGGGCTGGTGCTAAGTGTACTGCGGGTGCAGCTCTGACTGCCACCCCCGACCCAGAAATGGATTAAGGGGAAGAAAATGGATGGATGGACGGTGACCTGGCCGCAGCCTATCTTCAGCCCCGCCTACAAGAAACTGGGGCACCTGGAGGATACATTTGTATAATTGTTCATTAGTATTTCTGTACCATTGACCGAGCGAATAAACATCAGGTGTTTAAGCATTTTATAAGAACCATTTCCAGTTCTGACAGTTCGCTGAATGTCTTTCTCCATTGCTCACACATGTGTCATACTTGGTCGGTGGGGGAAGTGTCTTGCCTAAGGACACATCAGTAGTTTGGCACCTGGTGTTCCCTAATGTCTCCCATCACAGTACTGACCAGACCTTGCACTGCTTAGTTTCAGAGGTCTGTCTGCATCGGGCTTTCACATGCAGGTGGCGCCACAGTGATACATATATTCATGTTTTATTCATCTTACCGCAGAGGCCTTCATCCACACCGCTGTCAGACTGTACAATAAGTCACTTTAAGTCTCTAATGACCTGCACTAGGACTGAAGGACCAGCACTGCTATTGCCACTTTTTCCACTGCATATAATTATTACCTGCACATACTATATTTTTAACCTTAACATGTGCACATTTCTGTCTTTTTGCATAATTTGAGTGATTCTATCTATGCTAAATGTGACATGTAAATTTCTCCATTGTGAGATCAATAAAGTTTATCTTAACTTATCTTATTTGTTTGAGAAAATACAACATAATAATAATGATTGTAATAGTAATAATAATACTAATAGCAATAAAAAATATATACGACTAGGGCAATGAATTATAAAAATACCATGCACGCGTTTTATTTTGTAGGAGCTGACCGGAAGCGCTGTGTCCCCCCGCGGCGCAGCTTGACGCGAGCGGGCGCGGAGGAGCCAGAGGAGCAGAGCAGAAGGCGCGGACCGGGAGGACGCAGCTCCGAGGGTCACAGGGATGTACAGTAAACACAGGCAGAAACATGACCACACTCCGCCGGCGACACGTGTGCGTTTCTTCATCCTGCGGTGCTTTCTACTGCTCTGGGGGATCACCGGAGCAGCCGGAGGACTCCACCGACCCAGAGGTACCGAGACACACACACGGGGGAGAGAAGCGAAAGTTCACCCCCGCACCAGTTGCGCCTGGGCAGCTCGCTTCAGCCGGGACAGGGGCTTCTGAACGCGGGTTAAAAAAAAATACTCAAAAATATCATTCATTATGGCAGAGCGAACACAGCGTAACTTTGCATTGAGGCTGAAAAAAACTTTACAGGGCAACCACTCTGAACCTATTTAGAAGCATCGCGCAATCTAACATCCAGAATCAGGTTATTATTCTGTTTATGACATGATTTCTTAAGTAATAACACATCTATTACACCGCTTATAGACGTAATAGCCTCTGTTATAACTCCCGCCCCGCCTGCTTGCCCTATACGTACAGTACAAGCGCTGTCTATATATTGACTCTTACTACAATATGTCTAATAATAACGCTTAATCTCGCTGTGTCAATCCCTGCTGCTGCCTGGGCTTGTTTTGTGTCTTAAGACTTTTATTCCTTCAAGAGTTTTTCCCCCTTTGCTAAAAAAAAAAAAAAAAAAATCACAAAAAAAATATACAGCCCCTTTTTTCTTCGTTGAACAAGGAAAGCTCATTAGAAGTATTGGCAGCACGCGTCCTCACGTCAAACGCATCTTAATAAGTTTGTGCTTTGGTTTAGAATTGCAATTTTTTTTTTATAGAAGGGATTGTCTCAACTTTCTTTATTACTTACAAGTCTGGTTCTTTCTCTGTTTGCCATATAAGGCAGAAAAGCAGGCACAGAAGGGGACATAGGAGAGCAGCATGAGAAGCAAGACACAAGCTTTGGTCATTCTTTTGTATTTTTTTTTTAGAATACTCTTGAGTCTTGAGTCTTTCCATAGAAGTGGATTTGAAGATTTTTGATGCTGGCTTTACTCCAGCCTGGCGACATAAAGGTCAGATTGTGTGAGCGAAAAAAAAAAAAGAAGAAAAACCTTCCCAAGTCATGTGAGCCGGGCGACCACCACTGTAAAATAACACACAATACACTCATTCACTCTAATCTAGTGACTTTAATGCAGTTAAAAAGGCATGGCCGTCCAGGAATTTGCTTGACTTCTGCGTTTAAAGCTGAGGTACCCAACTTGTTAATATATAATAACGCATTTTTTCATAGTATGAGAAAGCATGTTATTTTATCGCGTACAAGAGATGCTATATGCGTCCCACAGTGAGGACATTTCAGTGTTGCACGGTTACAGAACAGTAGGAATGAGGGGCACGCAAAAAAAAGGAATGAACAATAACGCTATACTAATATAAAATAAAATAAACACTTTAGCATAATAAAGAAGCAAGTATAACATTTCTAACTTTAGCATAATGAAGAAGCAAGTCTAAAATCTGTAGCATTAGCATAATAAAAAAGAACATAAATACTTCATGTTGTTTTTCTCGGCAGAAAGAGTCTTATAAAAGTAAAATGTACACCATGCAATTTTCACGGTATGAGAAACCATGTTATCTTGTGCGAACTGGTAAGAAAGAGCCCTGGGAGTCACTATTTGACACTTTGGGCTGAGAGCTGAAAGAGCTGAGGGAGTATGATCCTCTCTTTTTCACTTTTGGGTCTGAAAAATCGGATTTAAAGACATGACAGAGGCCAAAACTACATGCATGTGAAAAATAGTATAATACATTTTGTGAAAGTTACATACCCCAGCTTTAACTTGTGGTGGTCCCTCTACTAGCTGTAAAAACAAAGCAAAAAACGCTTATTGAGTGAGCACATACCAGACCTAGCTGACCAGATGTTTCCATTTATTACAATGCATTTTTTCTCTCCAGTTACCGTACAGTGTTCTGGTGTGGTCAGACTGCGAGACCTTGGCATAAGCTGGAGAACATTTAAAAACAATGGGGTTAAGACAGATCTTGCTGCTCTCCTTTGCATTACTCTGTGCCTAGAGAAAGGAATAGCAGGATTGGTGACACATATTTTTATTCAAAGCCAGTTGGAATTTCATGTTTAAGTACTTTGTGAATGCTCTATCTGCTGTCTGCACCTCGTAAGTCATCTTTTATCTGCCCAAAAGAGAAGCCGGAGCGTCACTAAAATTGAGTCAGTGTTTCTGGTGCATGTCTGAGATGATATTGATGATATAGTTTTGCTACAATTTGATTTGTATCTCAATATGCGGGTCATCGTAACACCCTTGGTTACTAATGTGCAACAATTCCAACGGTTATATAATGTATTCACTAACTGTATGTACCCGAGAAGCCAAAGGACATTGCCAAATTTGGTCGTTGAAAGCTGCTTTCCAAAAATTGAGTTTTAGTGAGGCAGAGACAGTATATGGGTCTCAATGATGGACTGTTGTGTATCCTTCCTCCTAACCTTCATTGAACATAGAACATCTATATTATCGTATTGTTTTTTTTTGCTTCTATACATAAGAGGTACATATGGGAAGGCAAGACAAGTTTGTTTGTATAACACAGTTCATAGACAAGGCAACTCAAGATGCTTAACAAAACTAGATCAGAAACAATTACATAAGGAATTACAATTACATAATTACAGTACATTTAAAACAGATTTTAGCGGGATGAATCTGAAACACCGCCTTCCCATGTTTAGTTTTGACTCTGGGCACCAGTAGGAGGCCAGTCCCTGCGCTCCTCAGAGTCCCAGCAGGAGGCCAGTCCCTGTGCTCCTCAGAGTCCCAGCAGGAGGCCAGTCCCTGTGCTCCTCAGAGTCCCAGCAGGAGGCCAGTCCCTGTGCTCCTCAGATTCCCAGCAGGAGGCCAGTCCCTGTGCTCCTCAGATTCCTTGTTTGTTCATATAGCTCTAACATGTCACAGATGTACTTTGGAGACTTCGGAGATTGTTGTTACCATTGAGAGAACTGTACATAAACACAGCTGATTTAAAGTCTATTCTCTGAGCCACAGGAGCCAGTGCAGAGACCTGAGGACTGGACTATGACATGAGTGACTATTTTGTGAATATGTTAGAAATACAAGATCAAGTAGATACTCAATTAGATCAAGTACTGTAGCTCTGCTTTGCTGTCTCCCGTCTCTCTTAACAATGACTAAATCGTCTTATTTCCAATCACTTTCATTTCTAAACGATATTACAGTAACACCAGATAGTTTTTGGACTCAGTCAGATGAGAAAGACTCAGTGGTTGGCATTTAGCACAACATTAAATAGAGCACAGCAGAAAGATCATAACCACAGTATTATATTTTTGAGGCTAAATGCATCTAAATTTATTCAAGTGAACACTGAGCACGTTTTGCAGAGCAAAAATGAAAACCAGAGCCGTCGCCCGCTCCAATTTAATTAGATTGAACAAGCTTCTATTGTATAAAGCTCCAGTCTGTTTGGCATCACTATAGATTTCTGCTGCGTTCACACTGGAAAGAAAAACACTGGATACAACTGAGACAAGGTCAGCAGAGGCATGTAAGAGCACAGGGAAAAGTCATGCATACTGTATATCAGAAATGTAAATGTATAGATGTTTCAGGTAAAGATTTTTTGATTACATACAGAAAAAACAAAAACAAAAGAAGACAATAATCATTACATACTATAAAAGTTAATAAAAGTGTGTCAGAAATGTTCATATATAGAGGACTACAGATATACAGTCCCTCTGCACAGTTTTGTTTTTAAAGATAAGATAAGATGTACTTTATTAATCTCACACAGGAGAAATTTACATGTCACTCAGATTGTGCAGAGAGTAAGAAATGTGCAAACAGGACAGGACATATTATGTACAAAACAGTGGCAATGAGAAGAAGTGTGAGGCAAAAGCAGGTCACATACAACATTTACGCTGCAGAAATGAAAAGACTTGTCTTTCTGTCATAGGAGTCAGAGTAAAAACCAAATGCTAAATAAAAAGTTGTGTGATTACATTTGCGATAAGTATATAACGAATCATTTTTAAAGTTACGAGACGCCCTTGAAAACACCAAAAGGTTTGGTCTTGTCAGCGGTTACACGGAGACGGGATCTTAAAGTGGTCAGACCCATTTGGAAATAACACACAATAGTTTTTTGTTTATTTTTTTTCAAGTACCTCCGTTTCCTCTGTAAGGCTTTGTAAACATACACTTTGCCTAATGAAATCAGTAACGAGTTTTAAACTTTTGTCACAGTATAAAAAAAATCAGGAATCAACCTGAAACATGGGCTGGTCTGGAATCTAAAAGACAAGATTAAGATCAAGATTTAAAGATTCCTTATTCGTCCCACAGTGGGGAAATTTCAGTGTTGCATCACCGGTTACAGAACAGAAGGAATGAGGAGCACACAGCACAAGATAAATGAACAATAACTCTAAACTAAAGTAAAATAATATCTTAAACTTTTACATACATCTACATTACACAGCATGGGATTTTTGGTGCTGAAAAGTGGGTTCTGGGTTTGATTCCACCTCCAGGCCATTCTGTGAGTTAGCATGTGTACAGGCGACTCCGCTCCCATCTCTGTGTGGAGTGAGAGACAAATGCCCACATATAAAAGCTCTCTGTGACTCTGGTCTGTAAAAGGTGCTATATAAATAAATACTTACTACTTACCTTTTGAAAATATCTGGCAGTGAGTGCTAAACATAATGTAAAAGCAAAGGAAACAAATGGAATAATGCAACCTGGTGGAAGCTTTCAAAGATGTAATCACGTCCTTTTCTATGACGGACTAACTTCAATAATAACCATATTTGAAGAGTTTTTACTGAAAGTTTTGCACCTGTGGTTTGACTTTGATTCTCCATCTGTCCATGACCTCTCCACACGACTGCTGCAGTCAGAAGGACACGTTGACCTACGACTCTGGGGGTCGGGGACGTTTTAGCAAAGAGAGAGAAATCATCTTTTTTACACTGAACACAACTGAATGTGTCACTTTTTAAACAGACCATTTTTACTGAATAGTATGGGTTTACAAATGTATTTTTTTAATAGATGTTTTAACACTAGGACTCCCAGAGCAGTCATTTTGATGGCTCTCCTTCAAATGAATGAAATTCTAC